CAGAAATATCAATAGCGACCATATACTCTTGGGTATATGCAGAACACAGCACAGAAGAGTAAATTGGTGTACCACTGTAAACGAAGCAAAAATCGTGTGGGAGTCACCCTTGTCTATCCTGGTGACGCTTCTTCCCGTCCCATCACCCCTGTTCCCCTCCAGTCCCATCACCCCTGCACCCCCCCGTCTCATAACCCCTGCCCCCGTATCATCACCCCTGCACCCCTACCATCTAATCACCATACCCCTTTTTCTTTCATCACTTCTACCCCTCCCCTTTCATCACCCCTGCACTTCCTCCCCTCTCAACACATCTACACTCTCTTCCCTCTCAGCACCCCTGCGCTCTCCTTCCTCTTAGTACTCCCTTTTTATCACCCCTAAACTCCTTCCCCTCTCGTCACCCCCTGAATCCCCTCCCCCTATCGTCACCCCCTGCATCCCCTTTCCTTCGCCTTTTCCACACATCCCCTAGTCAGGTAATTACGCCCGCAGGGTTGACCTCTCCCTACTTTACTTTCTCCCAAGAGGGACTTAATCACCCTTCCACAGGCACCTCGGACCTGGTGTCGTACTGGGTCAGTATCTGTCGCAGTTTCGTTGTCTAGTAGCATTTGTTTGGTTCTCATTGTCACATCCTCTCAAGAGGAATAAAAGTCACAATACCGTCGCTGAAATAGTTCAAAACTTATTCACAAATTGGAACTGAAAGCTGAATGTAGTTTCTGTCATTTCTGTATCATTATCAACCTGACTATAAATACTCTCATACCTTCCACCCAGGTAGATCTGTTTGTGACTTGAAAAAGCCCACTGTGTGGGCGAAACGTTGTCAATAAAGGATCACATTATATTGCATGTGTTTATATTTCCATCATTATCAAGTCCTGAGATGATAACAGTCCATAACCGTCTAGAACGCTGTCCAATTTTCACATTATCTACTATACTCCCCTCAAGGAAGGTTTCTTGATGTTGGCGAGGGGCTCTTGATCTAGGGAATTGGATAAGTGCTCCAGTTCCCTGAATTAAACCTGAATGTCTTCCACATCCTCCCACAGGCGCTGCATAATCCTACGGGTTTAGTGCTTCCCCTTTGATTATAATAATAATAATCTACTATACGGGTTTCATAAACAGTTTGTTTATTATATACACGCGGGGTTAAATTAGTGTGGGACATTCAGCGCAAGAACTGGTGAAGGCTTGAACCTCCGTCCACCAATCGCGAGACATACACGCTACTTAACTACGTGTTGACTGCCAGTGAGTGGGTGGTTGGAGAGGTGAGAGCGTGGCTCTAGCCATAAGCGTGGGCGCCTGTAGTAGCGCCAGCAACACACCTGTTGTTCAGGGGATGTTGGGCCAAGTCGTTTCCTGTCCACTGTCGCCTCATTGTCTTGTTCACTCCTAGGATCATGTCTCGTCCATGCGCCAATACTTGTAGATAAGGGGTAACATATAATTTATATTCACTAAGTATATTCTATTGATTTGAAAGCCAATTGTATAGGCGAAATGTTGTTTAAATAAACTTTCATATAATTGTTAGGTAAAAGGACACAAGTGCAACTAATGTGACATTTTATATTGACATATATTATCACATTAGTTGCACTTGTGTCCTTTTACTTAACATATTGTCGGTAATTCTACCAACATTATTACAATTTATTATAACTCAAATTTATATTTTTTATTACATAATGATAAGTAGCGTCTTTGAGGGGAATACTTTCGGGTACTTTAATAGACCTATTGGCCCATACTAGGCAGATCCTGCTCACACCCACACTCGTGTACTTCTCCAACCTGTCTTACAACAATCCAAAATGCTACCTTCCACGACACTACTTGTCTCTTTGTTTCATTCATTTAAAATGTTATCAAATCATTGCTTTCCTATATCATTTTTTAATTCTAAATTTATGTATCTTTTCTATTTGTACATTTCAGTAATATTTCCTCTATTTCTACGTCTTTTTAACCTGTTTTTATATAAGAAAATTGATACAGGCATTAGTCTTGTCATTGAACATCAAAATGGTATACAATACCGACAGGTTGTTAGGAAAGACACATATGCAACAGTTAGACAACTTTATTCCGAAACGTTTCGCCTACACAGTAGGCTTCTTCAGTCGAATACAGAAAATAGGCAGGAACAGTAGAGATGTGAAGACGATGTAATCAGTCCATCACCCTTGTAGTTGTAGAATTTGAGGTTGTCAGTCCCTCGGCCTGGAGAAGTTCAGTTCCATAGTCAGGAACTATCAGATAGTATTCGACTGAAGAAGCCTACTGTGTAGGCGAAACGTTTCGGAATAAAGTTGTCTAACTGTTGCATATGTGTCTTTCCTAACAGTCTTGTCATTCTTATCTGTATGATTTCCAGCACTCATGCGCTGTTGCATTGTTTTAGATGTCTTCTAACCAGAACCTTACTTTGAACTGCATCTGCTACTTCTATGGCGACTTCTAATAATTTAGAAATTTTCTCGGGTCCTCAGATTTATTTGTCGGTGTATTTTTTCTTCTTCGACGAACTTTTTTGTGTCTCACGAAATCGTAATGACACGATTGCAAACAAACCATACCCCGGCCGGGATTGAACCCGCGGTCAGAGAGTCTCAAAACTCCAGCCCGTCGCGTTAGCTAACGCGACGGGCTGGAGTTTTGAGACTCTCTGGCCGCGGGTTCAATCCCGGCCGGGGTATGGTTTCTTGTGTCGCTATACATGTAGATTGTGAAGGGCTCACTTGATGGTTATACCCGCACATAGGAGAGACAAGCTTATGACGATGTTTCGGTCCGACTTGGACCATTTGCAAATCATCTTGTCGACATAGACAAATGTGTTATTCATCAACTTGCTGGTACTGTACTGTTGGACCTGCCTAGCATGGGCCAGTAGGCCTGCTGCATTGCTCATTTCTTATGTAAAGAACTCAGTACTTACCCCTGTGAGACGCCACTTGTAATGGGTCTCAATTCTTGATTCTATCACAATCGTTTAGCTACGGTAATGTAAATATTGTTTGTGTTCCATTTCATGAATGACTGTCGAAGATAAATGATAAAAAAAAATATTCCACATCAGATGTAGATGCAACTTATGGGAAAATGTTATTAATATAATAACCGACCTAAAGCATTTAGAACAGACACTCCTTGTATGTTTAGTGTAAAGATATCAATTAGTGCAAGTAGTGATCCAAGAAGTACACAAGACAGGCGTCCAGCCACGTCTTGCTGACCCCTGGAACTATTATGATTCACTACACCGACAACTGCACATAGAAGAATGAAACTTACGACGTTTCACTCCATTAACAAGTCGGACCGAAACGTCGTCATAAGTTTCATTCTCCTCTGTGCGGGTTATTTATGTATTGTTCCACTCACGGTATTGTGCCTTTTTATTCTCTATTATGATGACCAGCACACCATATATAACACAAGATAACATGCAGGACTGTTAACACACTTGATGTAATGTAGTTTCCTTGTAGCCATAGGACTAATAAAGCAGGAAAAAAATATTGCTACTTAGTAGACTGTATTTATAAATTTCGCATCTCATTTTAGCCTTGTAGAAAAACTAGGCTGTGTCAGTATCTAAATGTCTTAAGTGAATGTAAAGAATCTAATTTTCGAACACTGGAGCGTTAAAAGAGTATTGGGAAGGTGGGAGTTGAGGTCCCAGGGCTACCTCCCTAGCCACTTCCGTCTCACTGGACATCTCCGGCATCCTGTACTTACCTATTTGTACTTATCTGTTTGTAGTTGCGGGGGTCGAGTTCTAGCTTCTGGCCTTACTTCTTTAATGGCCATGACTATGTTTACACTATCCTGGCCTCGTGGGCGGTGTTATAGCTATTCTTACAGCTGTGTGTCAAGCCTGCCTCCACCCCTTCTTGAGGCACGTCCAGTGTTCCTCGCATGCCTTCTGCATGACACTCAACCCTCCACACCATCCATAGCGGAAACCTCTGCCCACTTTCTGTCAGAGGGCCAGGTAGAAGGGTAAAGAGGGAACTAGGTATTACTGCCCAGGTGAGAGCCAGGAGGGCAGCCTGCTGCCCCCACCACCATGTGGGGATCACAGGATATGAGACAAAGCGAAGCCCTACTCCAACACCCTTTGTTTCCAGCTGACTGTTAATACGCAGGAGAATATGATCCCTGGCACCCGCGGGACACCCGTCTGTCTCCCAGGCCTCGCTCTCTTACAGTCGTACGACAGGAGATAGTTTAAGGGATAAATTTATTGATATTTTAAGGATGTGGAGGGCAGGAAGGTGTCACGGAGGTGCTGCCACGTGTGTCCGGCCAGGCAGGTGAGCACAGCGGCCGCGCCATATTCTCTCCAGCTGTCTTCACTTGCTTGTCTTACAAGTTATCTTCCAAGGCGCCTCCTGTTGTCCTTACCTGTATTTAAACACATGCAATTATTTTGGATTTTACGCAGAGGTATATTACGTTCTTACGAATATTTTGAAATTATTAAACCATTCATATAATTAAAATATAAGGAAAATAGTAATTACTCTATTGTCATCAACATGCGATTTATTTTTTTTTTTTTTATAAGAATGATCCTGCGAATATTGCCGAGGAAGGAGTGTAATAATAAGGAAATGTTTTGTATAGCCTAGAGCTCACCAACGACAGAAAGGTAGAAAACAGGATAAGATTATGGTAGTGAGGAAGACATGTGTAGTGTAGTGAGTGAGGCCCGGGCGAGTATCCCTGTCATGCCCGCAGGCCAGGACGCGTCCCCCCGCGCCTGGGGAAGCCATACGCGCTCCTAAACCTTCGCTCACTTCCACACTTTTCGCTCACATCACCTTGTCTTATACACCTCTTAAACCCAATTCTTGACTCTGAATGAACAGCTGATGCAATGCTTGCGGATGGGGAATGTTGTCGAGTGTGTAGGGAGGTGGTGGAAATCGTGTGAGGTGGAGAAATAAGAGTTTGAGGTGTGAGAAGTAGTGGTAGTGTGCGGGTTGGTGGTGTACGCGGGCAGCAGTGCCATGCGTGGCTGCGTGCCACCCGCCTACACTCATACACCGACCACCACTTCTCCTGAACACACCGCACTCATCTCTACCTCTCCTCGCAGTCACCCCAGAAAGTTTCTATAGTGCAGTGGTGCCGTTACAGCCTCCCCGGATATTACTCCTCTCAGGGGAAAATATTTTGAAAGTTCATATTGGTAGGTAAACATTGGCGCGGAGATTATTGGAACGCTACTTTTGTTGTGAACACCGGGACGGTCAGCGTCTCAGGTAATTGTGCCTTAGTTTAAATTGTTCCTCTGAGGTGTTGACATATTTTATCTCTCTCAGGTACATGAACATACCTGAAGTGTATTTATGCTGCAGTTAAACTTGTAGTGACGTTTGGAAAAGGTAAAATAAGCTCTAAAGAGCCTCGTTTGAGCGCCAGTTCGAGTGACTGGCCATCCAGCCCTTCCAGGTGAAGAGTTGCCACAACCGCTGGAAACTACATATTAAATCTTTATTTTATTTTGACTGGCGGTAAAGTGAACGACAGTGTTTACCTGACCTGCAGTTAAATTGACTAGCTGGTTGTAGTTTGTTGTGAACGTAATACTGGTGTTTATTGTGTGGATGGAAGGTAGAATGAAGTTTTGGGGTAGGTGCCGTGAGGGCCAGGTGCTCGTGGTAGTGCTGGCTGGCGGTTGTTCTGATAGTTACTTGTAATTGTCGTGGTAATTGTGTTGCTCGTGGCATCTGACAAGACTGGACGACGACGACGACTTTTGCAGGTGTGGACCAGGTGGTCGTGGTGGTTATGATGGTAGTTTTGGAGTGATAATGGTGGTGGTTAAGTGGTAGTGGCATGCAGAGACACGAAGAACGACGACTTGTTACAGTGGTTACTGCCAGGTGGTTGTGAGTAGCAGATACGAATTTGATTTGCCCTACGGTATATATACTTCATATGAGGCTAAACAGTACAGTACCATTATTGGAGACAATGTGTTGCATTGGTTTCAAATTTCTGCTAACCATATCTCCTAAAAAAAAAAAACTCGTGTTGATTAGGTTCTACATTATTTTCTTTATAGATACCACGATTTGAAGGTTTGAAAACCTTACATAGAATTTACTACTTCAGACCACAACATTAAGCCTGTCTCAGAATTTGTGTTCGCCTGTTTATTATTTTCAGTGAATTTGATTGTGTTCATTTATTTCTACATCTTTGGTTTACATAAACTAAATGGTAAGGGATCTAACACTGATCCCGGTAGAATGCCACTTGTTAAGAGTACTAGATCTGACTTCTCCCATATATGTATGGTTTCCTGTCAGCCAGCTGTCTTAACTGAATGGAGAATTATCCCCTACTGGGGCAGGTTATTCTCACACCTATTTTTAAGATGTCAGGCAGTCTCCAGCTTTTCAAATCACTAATATCAGCAAGTTATTTAGATGGCAGGTTTGGTGATTTGTTAAAATATAAAAATGAGTTATGGAGCAATTTAATTTAGCTTTAAAATAGCTTAGTGTTTGCTGGGAAAACTCTGTGCCATTTAGAAAGCATTTGAAACTTCTGACCGAACAACAACTTGTGAATTGTGATGAAATCACTTTAATTAATTTTTAAAGTTACCCAAAATATTAACTTAAGCGACACTACTTGGCAGTTTGTTTTACTTATCAAGGCATCACTGAAGTATAGATAAACTATCATAAAAAGAGTCATGGACAGGAAGAAAACCAAAATGCAGATGTGGTATACATGGCTTTTACAAAAGCACATGATGAATTTGATCAGAGGGATTGTACGTAAAATGAGGGTGATAGGTATATAATGGGGAAAGTAGGCAGATGCCTATTTGACTTTCTGAGAAATAAACAGTAGTAGTAAAAAGTCTAGCATTAGCAAAGTAAAAAGCTCAGTACCATAAGGCACAGTCCTGGCACCTTGACTTGTTTCTCATGTGATGTAATGTTGGATAAGTGTCTCATTCTTCAACTGTTTCTCATACTTATAGGAGCATAGATAAAACTTTGACACAGAATAAGCATGACCAAAATAAGCATGAAAACCATCTCAGTAGAAGACAAAAATTGCAAGGTATAAGCATTTTTCCAGTGGGCAGTAGGGAATAACGTAACATTCAGTGGTGGCAAGTTCCAACGGCTTACATAAATATGGAAAGAATAAAGAACTCAGAAGGGGCCAAAAGGAACTGACTTGCCAGACAAATCTACTCACTTACTTCAGTAAAACATCTGAAGCAGAGAATCATGATAATGAATACAATATTGTTTATTTGAATTTTAGTAAGACTTTTGATAGAGTACCACATAAAAACCTGAAAAGTGCGATGTACAATATGTTTGTATGACTGTGGAACTTTGTTTGTTATGCCTATACAGTACCGTATGTAATGAATTTACGTTTTTGGCATGGCATGTACCATATTTAATTTCTTTGCATAATATAATACTCGTTATTGTTAGGTAACATGTATCATGTGGTTCTTCATCTTTAATTAGCTAAAATAATGATTATACAATTAAAAAAAATCTTGCATGATAGACACTAAACAAGGAAGAGTTGTGACCAACACATCAAAGTTAACTTAAAATAACCAATGTGGTTTCTGAGGTGGATAAAAAGTTAAATCTGGTTGACCAGTGTAAGCATAAAAATCAACTTGAAAATAAATTATGCAAGATCAGAATTATAATAAAGACCAATATCTTAAAATATATAAGCACATTAAGCTTGAAGCTGCTCGGAAGTTGAATTATTAAGCTATCTGTTCGGAAGGGTTGAAGGTAATCAGATGTCACACGGAAATTATTGCATGAAAAACGGTTTAAATTTTGAGTTTCCAAAAAAGGCAAATTGGAGCCTACACAAGCTAAAATGAGTCCAAACATTTCTCCAAGTAAGATTGACCATTTTTTTAAGAAGTAAGTAAATAAATAAGTTTTATGTAAGTTTGATGTATGTACATGTATAACATGAATTTTTAGGAATTTTCTTGAGGGCCTATAGATGTTATAGACAGATAAAAGAATATTAGGTTGATTTAACCTAAGGAAATCAAATAAGGTCAAGCATTGTGACCTAACTCTCATCAGAAGAGACATTCTCCAGTTACATTATTTTGCAGAAGCCAGTTTGATTAATAAAGTTGGCACATGATACCTTACACAGCCTGACATCAAGAGAATATTTCCTTTAAGGAAAACACACTAACACTAGAGGTGCCCTGTGTTCAGGAAACCACACCAGTGGGGAAAATTTGTAGTTGATCAGATGTGTCATCTTTCAGTTATGGCATGGCTCTCAATGATCGCAAGCTTTTCGCTATTTTAATACTGCAACAAATTTGTCTGCTTGCAAACGAAACTTAATAGGTACTATCCTGGCCCTAAGATGCATCAGTTCTTAAATACTAAATCTGTTCAGAAGAGGTAAGCTGAAAATTATTTAATGTGATTTAATGGGAATAAAAATTTCACACTTTTACACAAAATTGTCAAACATGCACCTATCCATTTGAATTTCACTCTCTGCTGTTGTTGAATTTTTGGTACCTTTTTTTACGCATTTGACACTACACCACTGAGGATTTTGGGAGTTATCTGAGTCATTCCTGGAGGATGAGAATGGGTTCAACAACTTTCATCATAAGAACATTCCAGTTCCAAGAATTTGGTTCTTGTTACTGTACACAAGTGTTAAAAATTTGAAGCCAAATGTATTCGGAATTTTTGAGTCGAGATCAAAATGAAATTGGAGAAAGACAAAAAACCAGGCACCTTCTTAAAGGTACCCCTTCGGGGATACCACATACGTCACCATGCCCTGACAGCCTGTTTTCAAGGGTGTGAAAGGAATGTAAAGAGCAACATAGTAAACTGTTAGCTAGTCTGTGCAACAAAGCACTACAAACTGGTATATTACCAGGTAAGTGAAAAATTGCACTTGTGATACCTGTTTACAAAACAGGTGATTGGCCCTTGGCTCCAAATTATAGACCAATCAGTCTAATTTCAATTATAGGAAATTTGATGAAATCAATAATTGCAGACATAATTCAAAGCTGTAGTAAACCCTTCATATAATGGACTAACTGGGGGGGGGGGGGAGCAGGTAGCTGATAATGGCATTTGTGGTGGATAGTGAAGAGTGCTTTGCAGTGATTGTAACAATAATGGGCTATTCTGTAACCATTGTACTTTGCCCATTGTTTCCAGATTGAGTAACCCAGTGGATTGTTAAATATTTCTGAAGTCCATTATATGGAAGGTTTACTGGACCTTGAAAGATATACATACTATAATTTGATCAGTGAATCTCAATACAGTTTTACAAATTGGTGTTTCATTCCTTACACATTACTAACCTCTTTCACTAAGATATTTGAGGTGGTGGACCAAGATACAAAAAAATATGATATTGTGTGTGTAGATTTCAGTATGGTGTTTGATAGAGTTCCACAGAAGTGACTTTTGAAGCAAGAGAGCCACTTGGAATCGGAGAGATTATCACCTGGATTGAGACATGGTTGATAAGATAAGAGTGATATAGCAACAGAGAGGTTTGCATGAATGAGAGATTAGAATGGGGACTTGTTAAGATAAGATTTTGTTTGGATTTTTAACCCTGGAGGGTTGGCCACTGAGGATGACCTAAGAAAGGCAGTGCATCATTGAGGGACTGTGTCTTATTTTCACTGGGATCCTCAATCTTATCCCTCAGGATGGGACTCACACCAGTTGAATAACACCCAGGTACCTACTTGCTTGCTAGGTGAACGGGACAACAGGTGCAAGGAAACACATCCAGTGTTTCTACCCTTGCCGAGGATTGAACCATGGACACTCAACACGTGAAACGAGTGTTGCCTACCAGGCCTCAGGCCACCGTGTTACTAGTGATGTTCTACAGGGATCACTAGTGGGCTGCAGTACACATTGACGACATAGATGTGGGAGTAAATAGTGACATGAACATGTTTTCTGATGACACAAAAATAGGCTAACAAATAATTTCTGATGATGCCAGAGTGTTACATGAGGATCTGGATAAGTTAATGTTGTGTTCAAAGAAGTGGCAGATGCACTTTAATATGGACAAATGCAAATGGGCTCCATTGATACAACTAGCCTTACCAGTAAATGTTTTTAGTACCCAATTGCTAGTGTATTTGTGGAGTTGTGAAAAATATTAATTTAAATTTCTTGACAGAGACTTTAAATTTAAATAATGTACTTTATATTGGGTTATTTAAATGTGGCCTTGTTAAATGATAAGTTAACTAGAGTGAGTTAATATTATAATGTTTACTTCTGGGGAGTTTAATGTCACAGTATTTTAAATTATGATTGTATCATATTGCAGTAATCATGTTTTTGATGGATCAGTTGTTTTAAAAATGTGAACTTTCATTTGCAGATTATGTGGTGAGGGTTGAGGAAAGATGGATCCTGGGCAGCAGTTTTGTTTACGTTGGAATAACTACCAATCAACACTACAACATGTTTTTCACAAGCTCTGGATGGCAGGAACATTTGTGGATGTTAGCTTGGTGGTGGAGGGTCAGAGGTTAGACTGCCATAAAGTGGTGCTATCTGCGTGTTCTTCATATTTTGAAAATATTCTTCGGGATCACAGCAGCCATCCACATCCACTAATTTTGCTGCATGATTTACCTTACTCAGCAGTGGAGGCACTTGTGACATTTATGTATAGGGGAGAGGTTAATGTAAGTCAAGAGCAACTAGCAGCTCTTCTAAAAGTTGCAGAAACTCTCAGGGTAAAAGGGTTGGCAGACTCTAATGCCATCAACAGCTTCACCAAACGTCAGCTGCTTGAACGATGCATTCCTCTCTTGGAGCATGCTCCTGGCAATGTCTCAGTGCCTAATCCAGTAGCTAACACATTAGGTGCAATAACTATTCCAACCACAGTTATCAATCATCCCAGAATGACAACTAATAGAGGTATGAGTACTGGAAGAACAGGGTCAGGAATGGTGAGACACATGTCCACTGGGAGTATGAAGAGGGTGGAAGTAGGTACAACAAATCTGGGTCCACAAAAGAAGCGGTCCCGTCATGAAGAACACACAGCCACTCTGCCTCTCACACCACCTGCTTCCCTGAATGATACACCACCAAGTGAAACATCTCAACCCTCACCAGCAGTTCCAGCAGTGCCAATTGAGGTGAGAAACTAAGAAGATGATACATTCATCCAAAAGCTTATAATTCAATCAATTTAATTACAGTACATTTGTTTGTTCAGTATTGTATACAGTATTGTTAAAAAGTGATGTTTTGGTTTTTGCTAATATAGTAAACTCTCAATTTAATGGACTGTTGGGGATTGTGGGGGAGGGGGGGTCTGTTAAATCCATATTACTGTATGAGAATATTTTTACATGGTTGTAAGAGTAACGAACAATTTTCGGATTTAATGGATTGGGTCCATTAACCCTTAAACTGCCCAAAAGTAGATCTATGTTTGTGCGCATAGCGCTCCGACCTTGATTTTCTCCATAAGAAAGAATGTAAAAAATGTAGATCTATGTTCGGAGTGCTATGCAAGCAAATGTAGATCTACATTTGGACAGTTTAAGGGTTAAATTCAGAAATAAATTTACCTAGTGGACTGCAACAATGACAGACATTTCTGTATTTAATGGACTATGTCCATTGCTTCTGAATGTTGTCTGGCCACAGATTTCATCCATTAAATTTAAAAACTGTTAAATTGAGGTTTTACAGTACTGAAGATGAACTGTAATTAAAAACAGTATTTCGTGATTACAGTTCTGTACCCAAGTGCTTTTAAACATTTTAATAATGATTGAATTGGCTAAAAATAAAGTGAAATATATACTATTTCCCTAGGTACAGGTCCTCCATCACAAATCCAACATCATTCCGACCTGTAGTGTGCTGGATTACAGAGTGGTTCGGTTAGAATATGCTTATTAAATTAACCAACTTGCACAAAGTTCATTGAACATCGGCAAAAATCGAATATTTCCACTAGTTTGAGCTCAATTTCAAGGTACTTTTCATCGTGAAACCAATCAAAATCGTATCTATTTCTGTAATATATCTTCCATTCTACCAAAAAAAACGAGAATACAACCATAAAAACCATACAAAAATATTCCGCAAAGAGGCGGCTAATGGCTGAGAAGTGAACTCCCTTATTTATCGTCCATTTTTTTTTGTGGTGTACATTAAAAAGCATCTTTCCATCATACAGTGCCCAAGTTTCAATAAAATAGCCCAACAAACAAATCATATATGGCAAGCCCAAGCCAAGTACTAGAAATAAGTCACTTTGTCTGACTATTTTGGATTATCCTAGGTTCTCTATACATATGCTGCTATGTATGATAATCTATGTAACTGGATTTGTGTATACTTGAATAAACTTACTTATTTACTTACTTCTATTCTGTTGACTGAGTACAAGAACCCACCCATTCACCTATTTCAGTTACCCAATAAAGTGGTCAGAAATTGGCAGTTTGGCCAATTTCACACAAATATCAACAGATGCCAATTTTCAAAATAGGGTCCAGAATAAACAACGCAGACATTCCTGGCACTAAAATAACATTTTCTCTGTTTATTAGTCATGGCTCCAGGCCCCTCTTATATTGCTCTTGCTTACCATTTGGAATTATTATTCACACAAAAAAATAGAAAATTTGCTGTTATGCAGACTGCTGCATTATTGTAATAATTGTATAAATAATGTCAACCCATTCTTGACCGCGTACATATTGGAATTTGGACTGGCAGGCGCACACATACTAGATGGTGACGTCATTTGCTTACTCTTGAACACTGCTAAAGAATCGAACATATCCGCTACTGTGAGCACAATTTTAAGGTACTTTTCGTTGTGAAAGCAATCAAAATCATATCTATTTCTGTAATATATCTTCCATTCTATCAAATGAGACCAAAAAAAAATGAGAATACAACCATAAAAAACATACAAAAATATGCTGCTATGGGGCTGCTAATGGCTGAGAAGTGAACTCCATTATTTATGGTCTGATTTCTTTCATTTTTGGTGTATGTTAAGAAGCGTCTTTTCATCATACATTGCCCAAGTTTCATTAAGTTTGCCCAACAAACAACCGAGAAAAAAATTAATAATAATATCTTTATTTACTACACATACACGTACATGGTATACAGGCCTAACTGACATCAATGACATACATGTACTACTATATAGAAAGCCCTTTGTTATGCTAAGCATTTCAGGGAAATTAGGTCAGTGTCCCAGGATAAGATCCACACCAGTCCACAAACACCCAGGCATCCATTTACTGATGGGTGAACATAGACAACAGGTGTAAAGAAACACGCCCAATGTTTCTACCCTGGCTGGGAATCGAATATTTACCAAAAATCACATAAGGCTAGCCCAAGCCACGTACTAGAAATAAACCACTTTAAACCATACCCCCGGCCGGGATTGAACCCGCAGTCTAGAGTCTCAAAACTCCAGCCCGTCGCGTTAGCCACTAGACCAGCTAGCTGGTCTAGTGGCTAACGCGACGGGCTGGAGTTTTGAGACTAGACCGCGGGTTCAATCCCGGCCGGGGGTATGGTTTGTTTGCAATCGTGTCATTACGATTTCTTGAGTCAATAAACCACTTTGTCTGACTTTTTTGGGTTATCCTAGGTTCTCTACACACATGCTGCTGTGTGTGATAATCTATGTAGAGAAAATAGCTTTTTTGTTTCAGTTTTATGGTGCAGTACGAGCATATTACGGTTAGCCCTGTGCTATACAGTGGACCCCCGCATAGCGATATTAATCCGTGCAAGAGAGCTCATTGTTATGCGAAATTATCGTTATGCCAATGAATTTTCCCCATAAGAAATAATGGAAATCAAATTAATCCGTGCAAGACACCCAAAAGTATGAAAAAAAAATTTTACCACATGAAATATACATTTTCCTACACACAAAGAGAAGGATACATGCACAATAGTAGAGTAGTACATGCACAATATATATTGTGCATGTACTACTCTACTAAATGAAGAATAAATGACACTTACCTTTATTGAAGATGCAGCAATGACTGATGAGACACTGTGTCCTGGGAGTGCCTTTTCCTCCTGAGTACTGAAGGTCCTGTTTGGCTTTTTCTTCCAGAACAGGCCTTATCACACTGTGTATGCCACTACGATTCTTAAATCTCTCAAACCAACCTTTGCTGGCTTTAAATTCACCAATATGAGCACTAGTTCCAGGCATTTTTCCCTGTTCACCTGGGTGTTAGTCGACTGGTGTGGGTTGCATCCTGGGAGACAAGATTAAGGACCCCAATGGAAATAAGTTAGACAGTCTTCGATGACACTGACTTTTTTGGGTTATCCTGGGTGGCAAATCCTCTGGGGTTAATTGTTTCTTGGTATTCTCAATAAGCCACACCAACAACGGTGCTACAGCAGCAGCAGCTGACAGTGCTACAGCAGCAGCAGACGATGCTACAGCAGCCGCAGACGGTACTACAGTAGCAGCAGACGGTACTACAGCAACAGCAGCAGCAGCAGCTGATGGTGGTACAACAGCAGCAGCAGACGATGCTACTGCAGCAGCAGACGATGCTACAGCAGCAGCAGACGGTACTACAGCAGCAGCAGCAGCTGACGGTGGTGCAGCAGCAGCTGATGGTGCTACAGCAGTAGCAGCAGCAGCTGACAGTGCAGCAGCAGCAGCTGACGGTGGTACAGCAGCAGCAGCAGCTGTACCACCAATAGTAGCGATGGTTGATTGGGGTTTATTATACAACCTGGCCAGCTCGGAGACACGCACTCCACTTTCATACTTATCAGTGATCTTTTTCCTCATCTCTATAGTAATTCTCACCCTTATTGCTGTAGGGTTGGCACTAGAAGCTTTCTTGGGGCCCATGGTCACTTATTTTGCAGATAAAATCACCAAAAACACTGTAATAATACAAAATGTTCCGATTGTATGCTTGGATGTTACCGCGGAGGCTGGCTGGTAAACAATGCCACCGGCGGAACATGTGAGTGTGGCTCAGGCCGCACATAGACGCGTCTCAGACGAACAGCGTTGAGCGGGTTTTTTAGCGGTATGCGAGGCAAAATCTTGGCGATAAAATGTAGTGGTATGCGGATTTAACGTTATGTAAGGCCAACGGTATGCGGGGGTCCACTGTACTCAGTTTTCTCTAATATAATCCCCCAAGACAGAGATAGGAGAATGGTACTTGTATCCCATATCCTCTTCATACCTCCATCGAATTGCTTGGTATTATGCCAAATGTTATTCATTCTGGAGTATTTAACATGTTTTTATGTTATTTATATTGTTTATTATGTCATATTGGATCAATTGTGATGGGCAAATAAGCCGTAGTGTTGATATTAGCATAATAATAGACCATATTCCCCTGCATCACGAGACTGAGCTCATAGCAACTGACAGAGGCTTCAAAGCCACCTTATCTTTAATGGACAATGTACTGTGTAGGTGCTTTACACAACGAGAAGCATTTCTTTTATTCATTGGAACCATGGAGAAAAAGAAATTGGAATGACTCATGCAACAAGTAGCACCACCAAACAGTACCAGCAGGTTTTTGTGGCGACCCTGGAAATTTGGAATTATGCTAGCTGAAATTAGTGCCCAATAACTGATGAAACTGGATGTCTGAGTGCCTGATTTGTGATGGCGGACCTGTAGTAGGTTGGTAGACAACAACCACCCAGGGAGGTACTACTATCCTACCAAGTGACTGTAAAATAGAAACCTGTAATTGTTTTACATGATGGTAGGATTGCTGGTGTCCTTTTTTCATCTCACAAACATGCAAGATTTCAGGTACATCTTGCTACTTCTTACATTTAGGTCACACCACACATGAGAGAAACTTTCCTTTTTCATTTTGGGCCACCCTGCCTTGGTGGGATACAGCCAGTTTGTTGAATATACCATTTCCTGTCGCATTTATAATTTTTAATTTCTTTCAAGGTATTCAAACAAGAAGCTGCTGATGAAACAGATGGAGAGCTTCAGATAGACGAGTCTGCTGGCCAGTCACCGATAAATCCTGCTGAATGTGATTCCAATTCCATAGGTATGTTCATAATTCTTTTTAGGTTCACCCTTGGTACAGTAATGCTGCAGGTTAATTCCAAATGAATTTTTTAAGTGCTAATGAATTTTTTAAGTTTATCTTTTGTTATCCAGAAGAATTGCCTGATATTAAGCTTTTCTGACATTCTCTTCCTATATAAATTCTGCTTTTTTAACAAAATGGCTAATTACTGCTAAGACAGGGCAACTCAAAAGAATGAAACACATTAGTCATCAATCATTCTCTAGCTGTCTTGCTGGAAGTGCATACACATCACAAGTCAAGTGACCCATCGAATTGCAAGAGTACATCATGGTACTTTCTACATTATATTACACCCTTTGCATCATTATTTCTGTGCATTAATAAACATAAAAACCTGGTTGCCTCTTTTTAGAAGGATTTCAGTTCTTCAACTTCATAATTTTTTATTTATTTATTCTGTACACCACCTTACCTTGCTTGGCTTCTTCCACTTGCATCAATTTTTTATTTAGTACACCTCCTGGGTATATTTTCAAACTACATTTCTTTGCTTTTTCATTTTCTCCATTTTTTATATACTTCTTCAGTACTTTTGAGTGCAAAAACGAAACAATAGCAGTAACAGCCTTTTTAAGTACTGTATCGTTATTCCTGTTGAGGCACATTTAAGAATGCAATATTTAACAGAGTTATCAGCTGATTCGGTAGACAATTTCAAACGCTAGTTCTATTGCACTCGGCACTATATTTTTTCTATCAAAATTGCTTTCAAATTATAATCAATGGATATTGTAGTATGAACAAGCATACATGTAGCCTATCCTTTCATATTACTGAGAAAATTATTATTTATATTGCTAATAGTCATCAAGAAAAAGTTATTTAGATTTAATACATTTGGTATTTTCCAACAAGGCAGGGTGTCCCAGGTAGAGGAACACATTCACCATAACTCATTCCTAGCTGTGTTTCCAGAAATGTATAGACATTACAATTCAAAGGAGCCGTTGAACTGTGTTGTTACTAGTCCTTTCGAATACAGGCATGTACTTTCCACCTCCAGAAGTTGAGTCTGCCTAACAGGTTTTCTGAAACCATTCATAGATGTTACCTTGCTCAAACTCAGCATCACATCAGATACCCAAAAACACTTTTCCTTTCGCTCTAATTAACACTTCCATATATGCCTGTCAGGTATCCACTTCATCACCTTCCAGTTCTTCCTGGGACATCCTGTAAACTTCCTTAACCCTTTCGGGGTTTCGGCCGTACTAGTACGGCTTATGCGCCAGGGTTTTTGACGTACTAGTACACACAAATTCTAGCGCCCTCAAATCTAGCAAGAGAAAGCTGGTAGGCCTACATATGAAAGAATGGGTCTATGTTGTCAGTGTGCGCAGTATAAAAAAAATCCTGCAGCACACAGTGTATAATGAGAAAAAAAAACTTTGACCGTTTTTTTGGTTTAAAACAGTGACTTTGCACTGTATTTTCGTATGGTATTTATTGTTGTATTCTAGTTTTCCTGGTCTCATTGTATAGAATGGAAGACATATTATAGAAATTGAGATGATTTTGACTGGTTTTACAATGAAAAGTACCTTGAAATTGAGCTCAAAGTAGCAGAAATGTTTGATTTTTACCAAAGTTCAAAAATAAACAAATCATGCTAAGCGTCCAATACACGTCAACTGGTGAGTCTAATATTCTTTCACAAGTGCACCGATATTATTTATACCATTTCTACACTAATGCAGTAGTCTGCATAACAGTAACTCTTATTTTTTTTTGTGAGAATAAAAAATCAAAGTGGAAAGCAAAAGAAATGTAAGAGGGGCCTGGGTACATGACTAATGAAGAGAGGAAATGTTATTTTAGTGTCAGGAATGTCTTTCTTGTTTATTCTAGACCCTATTTGGAAATTGGCATCTTTTGAAATTTGTGTGAAATTGGGAAAATTGCTAAATTCTGACCACTTTATTGGATAGTTGAAATCGGTAAATGGGTGGTTTCTTGTACTCATTTGATAGAAAAAAATGGAGTTCTAGCGAAATAGTTATGATTTTTGTCGACTAGTACACTGGAATTGGCCGAAAATAGGGCTCAAAGCGGGCAAAATCGCCGATGCGTAAACATCGTCAAGACTGCTAACTTCGCGAGAGCATAATTCCGTAAGTTTTCTATCAAATTTCATACTTTTGGTGTCATTATGACCGGGAAAAGATTCTCTATCTTTTCACAAGAATTTTTTTTTTTTTTTTTGAAATTTTGGCGAACCTGAGAACAAGTCTCTGAGAGAGCCTGGTGACCCCCAAAGGTTTAACACTTCAAAATAATTTTTTTTTTTATCTTTCTGTACTTTTAGATCCCCATTTAAGATCTTACCTCTTTTTTTATCCTTAACTGCACTATCTATTTGCTCTCCAGGTTTTCTCATCTTATTTATCTCTATAATACTGTTTCTTATTCTTGTCAAAATTTACTGTTTCTCAGTTTCTCATTTGCTTTCCTTTTGTACTCTCAGTACACCTTAACCTCTTTTTTTTTCTTCTCTTTCCATATATTCTGCCTTCTTTGTATCATTTTTACAATAAAAAGCCTTACCTAAGCTAATTTGTTCTCCTTTACCTTGCGTTTAAACTCGTCATTCTGTTAATCATTTTTCTTACCTTCTAACCCATCTTTAAAAGTCAAATAAACTGCAGTTAAGGAAAGGAAAGCTTTTTAATTAATAAAATAATTTTTAATGTACTTTTTTCAAGAGAATGCATTGTTTCTGAAGTGTGAAAACTTACTTTCTGTTAATGGTTCAATAGACCAGCAATAGCCACCTTTCCCAGTTGCTCTACCTTGGTTTATGACTAGGGGAAACTGTATGGTTCAGCTGGATACATCAATAAGCAACAGGCATCCACAATGAAAATTGGGACAAGAAAAGATGCCTTTTCTTGTCCCAATTTTCATTAGAGTGGAGGGATATCTGTTTGGAAGCAGGGAGTACAAAGGAAGTGAATGTGTTCAGATATTTAGGAGTGGACGTGTTGACAGATGGGTCTATGAAAGATAAGATGAACCATCAAATTGACGAAGAAGAAAAGGTGGGCAGTACATTGAGGTATCTGTGGAGACAAAAAAATTTTTTATCTAAAGATGCAAAAAGGGTTTGTATCAGAGCATAGTGGTACCAACACATATGGGTTTGAAGCATGGGTTTTAAATGTTGACACAAGGATGAGGCTGGAGGCAGTGGAGATGTCACGTCTGAGAGTAATGTGTGGTGTGAATATTATGTGAAGATCAGAGGGCTGAGGGGGGGGGGGGGTTAAAAATAGAATAACATGCAGGGTTTATAAATCTCTAGAGGAGGGAAGGTGGGTAGGGGTCATCCCAGGAAAGGTTAGAGGAAGGGGGGTAAAGGAGGTTTTGTATGGAAGGAGCTTGGACATCCAACAGGTGTGTGTGTATACTCACCTAATTGTACTCGCCTAATTGTGGTTGCAGGGGTCGAGACTCGGCTCCTGGCCCTGCCTCTTCACTGATCGCTACTAGGTCCTCTCTCTGCTTCCTGAGCTTTGTCATACCTCGTCTTAAAGCTGTGTATGGTTCCTGCATCCACTACATCACTTGCTAGGCTATTCCACTTCCTGATGACTCTATGTCTGAAGAAATACTTCCTGACATCCATATGACTCGTCTTCAGCTTCCAATTGTGACCCCTTGTTTCTGTGTCCCCTCATCGGAACATCTCGTCTCTGTCCACCTTATCTATTCCACGCAGTATTTTGTATGTTGTTATCATGTCGCCCCTGACCCTTCTGTGTGTGTGTATGGGTGCGTGTGTGTGCATGTGTGCACGTGTGTGTGCGCACATTAGTGTTAGTGTTAAATAGGAATGAGTGGAGACAAGTGATCATTATGACTTGATGTGCTGTCAGAGCGTGAACACGGTAACATTATGAAGGGATTCAAGAAAACTTAGTCCTGGAGGTCAGAAGGGCAGTGCCTGGACTCTAAGGGATGGGTTGGGTTGATGCAATTTGGAGAGGCATATGAGCTATATTGTTGGTGCACCTCTGACAAGATATTGGAGTGAGTGATGGTGAAAGTTTCTTTATCGGTTCACCCTACTTTGGTGTGAGATGGCCAGTGTGTTATGAAAAAAAGAGGAGACATATTGAGCCAAAAGTGATAGGGAAGTCTATATACTAGCAAAATAGTGTAATTAATTCTGAGAGGTAACTCAGGGGTTCATCACACCACTCAAAAAGTATATTTTTCATTCTTCAAAACATTCTCTTTTCATCCTCATAGCTTCTGTTGCAGCTCTGCTAGGACTCTCAAGTTTTAATTGGTATTGCAGCATTGTCCTGTAAATGGAATGTGAACATTAGACTATGCATGTTTTTTTTTTTTAACACACTGGCCGTCACCCACCGAGGCAGGGTGACCAAAAAAAGAAGAATCACTTTCACCATCATTGGCACTATCACTGTCTTTGCAGAGGCGTGCATATACGACAGTTTAGATATCACTGTAATCGGCAAATATCTCAAACCCTTGTTTAAAGTGCAAGCATTGTACTTCCCATGTCCAGGACTCAAGTCTGGTTAACTGATTTCCCTGAATACCTTCACAAAATATTACCCTGCATGGCTTGTATGTTTAATAAAGATAAATTTATAGCTTTCTTCCCCTCCCTCTCTTTCCCCGATCTTCTCTCTGTCTCTTACAGGATTAGATTATGAGTTACTACTATTATTTATAAGCTATGAACTGTTACTTACCTCAGTTAATTTGCAAGCCTTTTTATTATTATTGTGATGTATACAAATAATATCAGGGGTATATATCCTGCAGTAGGTAGTAGGTTGGTAGACAGCAACCATCCAGGGAGGTACTACCGTCCTGCCAAGTGAGTGTAAAACGAAAGCCTGTGATTGTTTTACATGATGGTAGGATTGCTGATGTCTTTTGTCTGTCTCATAAATATGCAAGATTACAGGCATGTCTTGCTACTTCTACTTACACTTAGGTCACACTACACATACATGTACACATTTATTTATACACACTCATCTGAGTTTTCTTTGATTTTATCTTAATAGTTCTTGGTCTTATTACTTTTCCTTTTATATCCATGGGGAAGTGGAATAAGAATCTTTCCTCCGTAAGCCATGCATGTTGTAAAAGTCAACTAAAATGCCGGGAACAATGGGCTAGTAACCCCTTTTCCTGTAAAGATTACTAAAAAGAATAAGAAGAAGAAAATTGTTTTCTTTCTTTTTTGGGTCACCCTGCCTCGGTGGGAGACGGCCGACTTGTTGAAAAAAAAAAAAAATATATCCTGCATGGCTGATGAAGGGGAGGGAATGGCTCATGGGAATATTGGGGCTTGGGGAGGGAAAGTAGTAGTGTGAAGAGGTGTTGAGTGTATTTGAGTATTAATAAAGGGTGTAAGTTTAATTATTTTTTTTTTTATTAACACATTGGCTGGTTCCCACCAAGGCAGGGTGGCCTGAAAAAGAAAAACTTTCATCATTCACTCCATCACTGTCTTGCCAGAGGGGTGCTTAACACTACAGTTATGAAACTGCAACATTAACACCACTCCTTCAGAGTGTAGACACTGTACTTCCTATCTCCAGGACTCAAGTTCAGCCTGCCAGTTTCCCTGAATTCCTTCATAAATGTTACTTTGCTCACACTCCAAGAGCACATCAAGTATTAAAAACCATTTGTCTCCATTCACTCCTATCTAATACGCTCATGCACGCTTGCTGGAAGTCCAAGCCCCTCGCACACAAAACCTCTTTTACCCCCTCCCTCCAACCCTTCCTAGGCCGACCCCTACCCCGCTTTCCCTCCACTACAGATTTATACACTCTTGAAGTCATTCTGTTTTGTTCCATTCTCTCTACATGTCCGAACCAACTCAACAACCGGTCCTCAGCCCTCTGGATAATAGTTTTGGTAATCCCACACCTTCTCCTAATTTCCGAACTACGAATTCTCTGCATTATATAATAAATATAATGCAGTTTAATACTTGAGTTTATATATGAGTTATGTACTATTAAATGTAATGTAGTATTATGTTGCTAAGTAAACAAATGGGAGATTGGTACAGTTTAAGAAATTGGCTTCTGAGCGAGTATGGGAATTATTTTTTTAAACTTCTCCCTTACTAAGTTTTATCTCCTGTGTACATATGTTCTTATACAAATATAAATTTATTATATATATATATATAAATATTTGTTATACTATTTACAGATCCCTTGGGTGATGCTGAAACTGAAGATGAATGTTTTCAAAGGGTGTCAAATGAAGTGCCTTCAACTGTGCAGCATGATGTTCATTCAACTGTTGCATCTAACATTCAGCCTTCTCTAACACAAGAAATCTGCGACCCTTCTCGACCATTTCAGCAAATAAATCAACCCCCAGTTGACGGCGTAACCAAGGAACGATGTGGAGGAGTTGGTGGAAAGTCTTGTGAGAGAACATACACACATTTGGACCTAGAGGAAGGAATTGAAGCAGTCCTCTTGGGCCATCTGACTCCAGCCAAAGCTATAGCACAATACCGTATCCCTCGAAGAACTTTCTTTCGGAGACTGTCTGCTGTTCGAAAGAGCCGGGGAATTCCATCGGCTAAGGAAAATGCAGCTGATCATTTTCTCACTGGTGCTTCTGCAGGTGGTGAAACAACCACTCAGTTGATTATTCCTGTTTCTGATTCTTCGGGATCTTTTGCTGCATCAATTAAGATCAAATCAGAAAAGCCTGTGCTAATAGCACCAAAAGATGGAAAGATTAAATTAAAAAAAGGTGAGGGAGTAGTAATGGCTCCTAATAACAGCTACTTTTCTTTGCTCAACTTAGCGGCTACCAATAACTATGATGCCTATCTAAACTATCTCAAACTTGTTGCACAACAGGATGACAATGCCAATCCTGAAGAGGTTATTGAGGCATTACGAAAAGGTCAGGTAAAGGAAGTGAAGCCAGCTGTAGATGATAACAGGAATGTTTCTGAGGCAGCTTTGGCTCTTGTTGCTCACAATGTGTCTGCTGACTAGCATCGCACAATATCTGAACAATTTGATCAAAGTGAGAGGGGAAAACTTCCACGTTGGGCTTTATTTAGCCCAGTGCCAATTGCAACTAACCATTCCATTCAACATTCCATTAGGTTAAGGTTACATGTATATACATATATTTAAATGGATGGGGGCTTAGTTGATATCCTTTAGCCAAAGCATATCTCCCTGAATTTGATACAGCATATTTTTTGCTAAATGACCTAAACAGAATCTCAGTATTATCTGCTTTTATATCATATTTTTATACTTGAAAATACAAAAAAGGTTTTGTTTTTAGTACTGGAAAATTAAGGCAAAATTAAATTTAAAAGACTTCATACAAGGTCATGAAAACTTGTATTCCTTATTGATTAAATGCATCATTCCATTTTAATTTTGCTATTAATCCATGTGTAATGTTTCTGACCTGTCTGAAAAGGGATGTTATGTATCTCAGACCTCATATTTGACAGTTGAATATTATTGCCATTATGAAGGTGGGAGGTTTGATATATTTTATCAACATTGAAAGTCTCAAAAGCTGTGATAACATTTGGTACTTTTTTAATTTTTACTAATAATCATACTCAATTTGCACATTTTGGCCTTCTCAAGTTGCTCTCTGCTTCTGTGAACTCTTACCTTGATTATTGTATAGGGTAATGTTAATTTCCATCTTTCTAAACCTCTGGTATTTATTTGTCAATGTAATAGAAGCATGTTTCCTATCTTTTTGTGGTGATGGACTTTTATTTTGTATATATTTTTTTTCTGTACAAGGGGACTTTTGTATATTTTTCTTCATATAAGGCAGTTCTGGTTCAATGAAACTTTTCACCAATATTTTCTTTAAATATTATTGTTGATATGTTTATTATAATCTCAGTTTTTTTTTTTTTATCCTTTTCAATGAAAGACATGATTAGATTTTTTTTATTGTGCTTTGTTGGGTGCTTTTCTTCTGAGTATGTTGAACAAAGAACTGTCTGTTAAGTCTTGTCTTGGTTGTGGGGCTCACTTGTACCTGTAGTTGCTCAGCTATCCTTAGATGTAGACATCAAATAGTGTAGTAAATGTAATTTTGCAGGCATTGTTGGTCAGTGACTTTCCTATTGTTGTCACCGTTAGCCCAACAATGGTGGCACATTTTGAAATAATGGTTGGGCTAGTGCCTCAGATTTTGCAATCTCTTTCCATTATGATGTACTTTCTTGACCACTTTAAGCCTATTGTATGAGCTCTGGAAAGCTCTTGTTCCTATAGAAAATATTATTAGAAGTTATTTTATATGTACTCTGAATATCCATGGTACAACACTGCTGTGTAGCCATTAGTCTTAACTATGACCTGGGAAAATGTACTTTAGTTCCATGACCAAGGAGCATATCATAGTCTTTACGACCCTAAGAAACATGCCTGAGTTATGTGACGTGAGGCAAGTCGTAATTTAATGACCTGACATAGTGTCATAGCTAGGAAAGGTGGCAGCTGTGATGAATTCATTGTTTTCTTCATTCAGGACAGTGTGATGATGCAACTTGATATGGCTGTGATGAATGCATTCAAAATGTTCCATCTCCTATTCATTACATGTACTGCTAAGGGAAATTAGTCAGTTTAAAATAATTTTGCTTAGTTGATAGTACCATTTACTAGATATACCAACTCTTGAAGAGTTATCCGTATGGCAAACCTGTATGATTGTCCAAGACACTTTTTAATTTTTGTGGAATAATAATAGTTTGAGGAAATAAATTTATAAATATTAATTTTAATTGCGATGTTGCAGATCATATATACAGGTTTTGCTTTTGGATAATCTTGTGTTGGCTATATAATTACTGTTAGCAGCAGTTATCTCTTAGCTCATTTGTTAGAGTCATTTGTTAGATAACAAAAAGGCAGCTTTTTTGAGGAAGTGCAAATAACCTCTCTCATTTAAATGTATTAAAACAATGGCATTACTAAGTTAAGTTAATAATTAGCGATCTCATGTTTTTACATTTTATGCCTAAGAATACTGTGTGTTAGTGGCATCTGCCTCTTGCTTATCACTGTCTGGGTACCTGTTTTAGCTGGTGGCCATATGTGTTGCTGATTAAAATTTGTAATTATTACTGTATTACCTTTTTTTTTGGGCTATCAGCTATGTCTGAAAAGTGCAGTGTACATTTTCTGCATTTTTATATATTGGGGCATTGAAAGTTTCTGTAATTATTTTGTATTTTTGTGTATTTCTGTACCCATCTCCTGCCATCAGTCATGGCTGGGACAAACTAGGCCCTGAAAATGTAACTTGCTTTGTGTATGCAAGCATTTGTATTTTGTCATTAGTGAATTTTGTATTATATTTTGCTTTGTTGCTCTCAGTTTAAAATATTATGATCTGGTATGTACTTAAAGATCTGAAGAAAACTGTGATAAAAGGTAGCTTTTCTACGCTTGAACACATTCCATGTTATCCTTTTTGGAGAAACAAAATGCACCATTCCATACCCTGTGATAATACGTGTGTCTTGTATATTGTCTGGCCTATCCATAGGGTACATTATAGTCCCAAAGTGTGAGCAGTGAAACAGATAATAAGTTCAGGCAGTTACTAAACATGATTCTGTGACAAAAGTGTGTTTGTGTGTGTGTGTGTGTGTGTGTGTGTGTGTGTGTGTGTGTGTGTGTGTGTGTGTGTGTGTGTGTGTGTGTGTGTGTGTGTGCCTTACCTAATAAGCAAAGACTCGTGAACTGAACTGCTATGAAAATTATTTTAGAAAAGCTTGTCTTAATTATAAATGACCTATCCTTGCTAGAATTTAAGTAATATAGCTTAATTCTACCCAATGTATTTAAAGGTCAGCATTGATTGAATTTGTATTATTTAGCATCAAAGAAATATGTTACTTTTGTGAAGTTCAGACTTATTTTTACAGTTATAACAAAAATATATGTAGTATATGCTCTGCTTGTTTGGCAGAATGATTGTTCCTTTATAAGCTCTGGCAAAAATGCATATTCTGTATGTGTATATATTTGTGTGTATGTACGTGTGTATGTATATTACATATATATTTTTATCATGTGTATGTGTGTGCATGCGTGTGTGCACTCACTAGCACCCATTTGTACTCACCTCGCCTGTTTGTAGTCGCAGGAGCTGGCCCCACTTCTCAGCTTGTGGCTTGCCAGATTCACTCCCTCTTAGCTTAGTGGGACCTGTCATACCCACTTTTAAAATTATGTATTGAGCCCGCCTTCCCCATTTTGCCAAGATCATTCCAATTTCTGACCACCGATAAAATACTTCTTGACATCCCTTTGGCTAATCTGTCTAACTTCCAGGTTTGCTCTCGAGTATTTTGCCTCTCGGACAGCCTGTTCCCATCTACCCTATCATTCCATTTCAGTATTATGTATGTTATCATGTCTCACCTGGTTCTTCTGTTCCCCAAGGTCATTGGATTCAGTTGTGTTAGCTTCTCATAGCTCATGCCCTTTAGCTCTGGAACAAGCTTTGTTGTATACTTCTGCATTGTCTCCTGTTTCTTAGCATAGTTTTTCAGGTGTGTGCTCTGTACTAATACTGCATTGTCCAAAAGGGCCTGGCATATATTATATAAAGGGTCTGGAATGACTCTCTGTTGATATTCCTGAAAACTATTCTAAAGATTTACCAGTTAGCAGTAATTAGCTATGTAGAAGAATAAATGGGCACAATACTGTGACTGGAACAATAAACTAATAATTAGCACACAGGAGAATGTGTGACAGGTTAATCACCCAAGTTGAACCAAATTGTTTTCAGAAATGTATAGCTGCAGAGCTTATTTGGCTGAGGTGAGTTTCTCTGAGTGAGGTCTGTAGTCTATCCTCGGATTTTAACTCCTTGTCTGGCCTTCTGGCCCCTTTCCCAATCTTCGTTGTCTTGCCTTTGCTGAGATTAAATTCAAGTGCCCACTTATGTGACCAATATTTCAGGTTGTTTAGATTTATTTGCAGCCTTTCCCTATCCTCATCTGATTTTATTCATTAGTTTTACATCATCAGCAAACAGACATATATGACTCGCTCTCCTCAGATATGTCATTCACATAAATCAGACACAGTACTTGTCCTCATAGCAATCCTTGCAGAATCCTGGTTGTGACATCTCTTCCTGGAGCCACTGCCTCTTTTTCCCTATGTATTCTTTGATCCACCAGACTGTTCCCTGTTATACCTGCTTGTGCCTCAAGTTTTTGCCAGTCTTTTGTGGGGTACAATATCGAATGCCTTCTCAAAGTCTAAGAAAATGCCATCCATCCCTCTCTCCTGTCTCATAAAATTCCAACAGATTGGTAAGACAAGACTTGCCATCTCTGAACCTGTGTTGGCTATTGTTTATGAAATGACTTCTCCAACTGATCTACCATTCTTATTTTCTTCATTACCTTGCATGATGTACATTTCAGTGTAACTGGTCTGTGGTTCAGTGCTTCCTGCCCATTTCCTTTCTTAAATCTAGGGACTATATTTGCTGTCTTTAAAATCTGACTGTCCTGTGTGTTGACTTTTAGACCGTAGCTAATTGTTTGGATAATGCTGCTCCCTGGTAAAATCTATGGTGACACCTTGTCAGCTCCCATTGCTTTTTAATGTATTCAAGTTTCATCCCTTGTTGTTTGTATGGTGTCATTACCCATCAATGTACTCCATTTTACCTCTGTCCTCTGGCATTGCCTTTGTTTCCATTGAAACCTTTTCAGATCATTTATTTAACACTTCAGACACTTCCTTGTCATTTTTTGTGAGCTCCTTCCCTCAGTTGAATTATCAGATCTTTTACTGTCATCTAATGTGGCAGTGAAACAGTTTTGGTTATTAGCTTTTGCCATTGTCATTCTCAAATTGTTGCTAAGCCTCTCACATGTTTGCCTCTGGCTAATCTATTTATATCCCTGTTCTTGCCTGTCATATGTTTTCTATTGTGTTTCCATACTCTTGTGCTTCTCTTTGTTTTCCTCTGCAATTCTGTTTGAACTAAGGGTTCTCTTCTGGGAATGAAGTTCTCTGCCTCCCATTACTTCCCACCTAGGTACTTCATCTCATCTGCTGCATTTTCTTAAGCTCCCCTTTCCCATTGCACTGCATTCAGAAATTCCCTCATCCCTTCAGAGTTCAAAGTGAGAGGAGGGGGGAGAGTGAGATAGTGTGAGTAAGAGTGAAAGAGTGTGAGTGAAATCCTGCTTCTACCACTTAACTGACCAATGCATTCCACTTCCTAACTAATACTGAAGAAATATTTCCTGACATCCTTGTGACTGTGTTTTCAGCTTCCACCTGTGCCCTTGTGCTCCTGTTTCCTGACTCAAACAATCTGTCGCTGTCCACCCTATCAATTCCTCTTGGTATTTTTGTACGAACTTACCACATCGCTCCTAGTCCTTTCCTGGAATGTCATCGGGTTTAGCTTCCTTAATCTCTTCATGGTTTTGTTGCAAATCTCTGCATTTTCTCCAGTTTCTTCATATGATAGACAAGGTATAGGTTTCATATTGGTGCTCTATGTTCCAAGATGGGCTTGACACATGACTTATACAGTGTTGTGAGTGCATCCTTGTTTAGGTTTGTAATGGCTAATCTTAGACTTGCCAGACACACATTTGCTGCAGCAGTTGTTTGGTTCAGATGTGCCTGAAGTGATAATGTCTGTACAGTGCTCACCCTGAGAGCCTTCTCTTTGAGTGAGATTTGCACCCCCCTTTCCCCTCAAGTCAATACTCTTCTTTGCCTATTTCCTTTCTTCATAACTGTGCACTTTCTGGGGCTGGCTGAATTCCGGTAGCCACTTCTCAGACCAGACGTGGAGCCTATCCAGGTTCATTCAGTCTTTCCTGCTCTTCACCTGTTTGTATTCTCATTAGTTTAACATCATCTGCAAAACAGGGATATCGCTTACTCTATACCTTCCATCATGTCATTCACATGTATAAAATATAGTACCAGTCATAATACTGAATCTCGTTGAACCCCCACTTGTTACTCACACCCATTCCAACACCTAGGATAATAACTTTAGTTTCCTTCCTGTAAAAAATTCTTTGATCCATTGTAGTGCCTTCCCTGTTATTCCTGCCTGCTCGTAGTTTTTGTTTGTCTCTTGTACAATACTGTCGAAAGCCTTCTTACAGTCCAAAAATATGTAACGTCTCCATCATATCTGTTACAGCGCCGTAAAAACTAGTAGGTTTGTGAGACAGGATTTGCTATCTCTACAGCTGCCCTAATTGTTATCTCTGAACCCACTTCTTTCTAGGTGCTCCACCACTCTTCTGATAATTTTCTCCATAGCTTTACTTGCTATGCATGTCAGTGATATTGGCCTGTAGTTTAATGCAACTTGTCTGTTCTTTCTTGAATATTGGTATCACATTTGCTGTCTTCCAGACCTTTGGCAGTTACTCCATGTTGAATGAATTGTTGAAAATTGTTGCTTGTGGCTCATATAGTGCTTCCTATCCTCTCAGGACCTGGGGAGAGAGATTGTTTGGTCTAGCTGCTTTCAAGGTATCTGGCTCACACAATAGTTTCTTCACCTGTTCTGTCATTTGCATTTGTGTCTAGCACTCAGTGGTGCACTTTACCACTGTGTATTAGTTATCAATTGTCAATGATTCTTGTTGATAGACACTTTGTCTCTGCATATGTATGTGTGTGTGTGTGCGCATTTGTGTTTCATAATACAATGGCTTCCACTAAGATAGGATGGCTCCCTAAAAAATAAAACATTCATTCAGTTATTGTCTTGCCAGAAGTGCACTGACATGAGTTCAGATGACCCCCTATCTTAACCCATCCCCACACATAGTTTTTTTTTTTTTTACATAGGGTATTCCAAGTATTGTGTGTGTGCTTATACATAGATAAATTATAATTATAAAATATGAAAAAAGATCCAGATATTGTTATCTGTAACAGTGCTCTCCAGTGGACACCATCAGTTGACTTAGTTTTCTACAAAAATATGGCCAGAATCTGAAGTATCTATGTGTCACAGGGACTAATCTGTAGACTCCTATTCTGTTAGATTTCTTGTATTTTTCTACAAGTTTCTAAATAAGATTTTTCAATAAAATATTTCTAAGAATTATGTTTCAACCCTATTTGTTTTTAAAACCCACCATCCAGCTTTGGCTCCAATTTCAATATGGTCATGAAAATCATAAGTTGTATAGAAATAACATTTAAATTTGGACAAATTAATTTTTTTTTCTAACCATTTAATTATTAAAATATGTTAAATTGAATATGTACAGGGAAAGAACTAGTCAAATAATCAATCAATGCCAAATTCAGAAATTTGCCAGTTGCTTGGAATATTTATTTAAAATAATGAACTACAGTATTACCATTGTAAGAGATGAATATACTATAGCGAGAAAACAAACACTTCAGTCTTTGTTGAGGTACAAGTTTTCAACCCATCATTTTTTAAGTAGCATGTTTTCAACTGTTACCTTTGTTAATACGATTGCTAGCTGGGTATTAGCGCGAACTCGATATTTTGATCCAACAACTGCTGCTAGGTCTACTAAAAACCTTTTGCATATTTATGCTTAGCATTTTTTGAATATATTAATACAATACAGTGGACCCCCGCATACCGTTGGCATCACATAACGTTAAATCCGCATACCGATACATTTTATCGCTAAGATTTTGCCTCGCATACTGCTAAAACCGCTCAACGCTATTCGTCCGAGACGCGTCTAATGTGCGGCCTGAGCCAGCCTCACATGTTCCGCCGGTGGCATTGTTTACCAGCCAGCCTCCGCGGTAACATCCAAGCATACAATCGGAACATTTCGTATTATTACAGTGTTTTTGGTGATTTTATCTGCAAAATAAGTGACCATGGGCCCCAAGAAAGCTTCTAGTGCCAACCCTGTGGTAAAAAGGGTGAGAAATATTATCGAAATACTGTGGTACCATGGTCAACTGCTGATGCTGCTGCTGCTGTAGCACTGTCAGCTGCTGCTGTAGTACCGTCTGCTGCTGCTGTAGCACCGTCTGCTGCTGCTGTAGCACTGTCTGCTGCTGCTGTAGCACTGTCAGCTGCTGCTGCTGCTGTAGCACCATCTGCTGCTGCTGCTGTACCACCGTCAGCTGCTGCTGCTGCTGTAGTACTGTCTGCTGCTGCTGTAGCACTGCTGCTGCTGTAGCACTGTCAGCTGCTGCTGCTGCTGTAGCACCGTCTGCTGCTGCTGCTGTACCACTGTCAGCTGCTGCTGCTGTAGTACTGTCTGCTGCTGCTGTAGCACTGTCAGCTGCTGCTGTAGCACCGTCTGCTGCTGCTGCTGTAGCACTGTCAGCTGCTGCTGTAGCACTGTCAGCTGCTGCTGTAGCACTGTCAGCTGCTGCTGTAGCACCGTCTGCTGCTGCTGCTGTACCACCATCAGCTGCTGCTGTAGTTCCGTCTGCTGCTGCTGTAGCACCGTCTGCTGCTGCTGTAGCACCGTCTGCTGCTGCTGTAGCACTGTCAGCTGCTGCTGTAGCACTGTCTGCTGCTGCTGTAGCACTTGTCAGCTGCTGCTGTAGCACTGTCTGCTGCTGCTGTAGCACTGTCTGCTGCTGCTGTAGCACTGTCAGCTGCTGCTGTAGCACTGTCAGCTGCTGCTGCTGCTGCTGTAGCACTGTCAGCTGCTGCTGCTGCTGCTGTAGCACTGTCAGCTGCTGCTGCTGCTGCTGTAGCACTGTCAGCTGCTGCTGCTGTAGCACTGTCAGCTGCTGCTGCTGGAGCACTGTCAGCTGCTGCTGCTGTAGCACTGTCAGCTGCTGTAGCACTGTCAGCTGCTGCTGCTGTAGCACTGTCAGCTGCTGCTGCTGTAGCACTGTCAGCTGCTGCTGCTGCTGTACCACCATCAGCTGCTGCTGCTGTAGTACCGTCTGCTGCTGCTGTAGCACCATCTGCTGCTGCTGTAGCACTGTCAGCTGCTGCTGTAGCACTGCTGCTGCTGTAGCACTGTCAGCTGTTGCTGCTGCTGTAGCACCGTCTGCTGCTGCTGCTGTACCACCGTCAGCTGCTGCTGTAGCACCGTCTGCTGCTGCTGTAGCACTGTCAGCTGCTGCTGTAGCACTGTCAGCTGCTGCTGTAGCACCGTCTGCTGCTGCTGCTGCTGTACCACCATCAGCTGCTGCTGTAGTTCCGTCTGCTGCTGCTGTAGCACCGTCTGCTGCTGCTGTAGCACTTGTCAGCTGCTGCTGTAGCACTGTCTGCTGCTGCTGCTGCTGTAGCACTGTCAGCTGCTGCTGCTGTAGCACTGCTGCTGCTGCTGCTGTAGCACTGTCAGCTGCTGCTGCTGCTGCTGTAGCACTGTCAGCTGCTGCTGCTGCTGCTGTAGCACTGTCAGCTGCTGCTGCTGCTGCTGTAGCACTGTCAGCTGCTGCTGCTGCTGCTGCTGTAGCACTGTCAGCTGCTGCTGCTGCTGCTGTAGCACTGTCAGCTGCTGCTGCTGTAGCACTGTTAGCTGCTGCTGCTGCTGCTGTAGCACTGTCAGCTGCTGCTGCTGTAGCACTGTCAGCTGCTGCTGCTGTAGCATGTCAGCTGCTGCTGCTGCTGTACCACTGTCAGCTGCTGCTGCTGCTGCTGTAGTACTGTCTGCTGCTGCTGTACCACCGTCTGCTGCTGCTGTAGCACTGTCAGCTGCTGCTGTAGCACTGTCAGCTGCTGCTGCTGCTGCTGTAGCACTGTTTGCTGCTGCTGCTGTAGCACCGTCAGCTGCTGCTGCTACTGTACCACCGTCAGCTGCTGCTGCTGCTGTAGTACCATCTGCTGCTGCTGTAGCACCGTCTGCTGCTGCTGTAGCACTGTCAGCTGCTGCTGTAGCACTGTCAGCTGCTGCTGCTGCTGTAGCACCGTTGTTGGTGTGGCTTATTGAGAATACCAAGAAACAATTAACCCCAGACGGTTAGCCACCCAGGATAACCCATAAAAGTCAGTGTCATCGAAGACTGTCTAACTTATTTCCATTGGGGTCCTTAATCTTGTCTCCAGGATGCAACCCACACCAGTCGACTAACACCCAGGTGAACAGGGAAAAATGCCTGGAACTAGTGCTCATATTGGTGAATTTAAAGCCAGCAAAGGTTGGTTTGAGAGATTTAAGAATCGTAGTGGCATACACAGTGTGATAAGGCCTGTTCTGGAAGAAAATACCAAACAGGACCTACAGTACTCAGGAGGAAAAGGCACTCCCAGGACACAGTGTCTCATCAGTCATTGCTGCATCTTCAATAAAGGTAAGTGTCATTTATTCTTCATTTAGTAGAGTAGTACATGCACAATATATATTGTGCATGTACTACTCTACTATTGTGCATGTATCCTTCTCTTTGTGTGTAGGAAAATGTATATTTCATGTGGCAAAATTTTTTTTTTCATACTTTTGGGTGTCTTGCACGGATTAATTTGATTTCCATTATTTCTTATGGGGAAAATTAATTCGCATAACGATAATTTCGCATAACAATGAGCTCTCAGGAACGGATTAATATTGTTATGCGGGGGTCCACTGTAGTTATATTTCCATCAGCCTTGGGCCAGGAAGCTTCTGTTGTTGGGTTCAAAGGTGGGTAGGGATTGATTTTAGAAATTTTTAGCGCTGTATAGCCCTTGTGGTTTAGCACTTCCTTTTTGATAATAATAGAATATTTTGTACTCATACAGCGACTCTGTTCTAACTGACAATGTTAAAAGTACTAATTTAAATTTGGTGAAAAATATGAATGCTTCCAACAGATGGGATGGAGCTGTCACTCTAGAGCTTATGGGTTTAGTGCTTCTCCATGAATGTAATAAGAGCTTGCCTGATCACTAGCAAATTACTAGAGACAACTGCTCTTAAATAGGCCACCTGACTAATCCATCAGTGCTGTATGACTTGCTGCATAATCCTACTGGTTTAGCGCTCCCCGTTGATCATAATATATGACCCTTGTGGGTTTAGTGCTTAGTTTTGATTGTAATAAGTTAAATATGTAAACGATACTCCAGAGACAGTAAACCAAAATAAAAAGGCATGCAACATTCACGTGAACTTGCCCCTCAAGGGAGGTTCCTTGACGCTGGTGAGGGGCTCTTGATCTAAGGAGTTGGATCTGTGCCCCAGTTCCCTGAATCGAGTCTACCTTCCATCCCCCCCTACAAGTGCTGTATAATCCTACGGGTTTAGCACTCCCCCTTGATTATAATAATAATGTCCTTATTGCTTGTGTGGGGCTCTTGATCCAATGAATTTGACTTCCTGTTGCCTCTAGGTAGGTTCCTTAATGCTGGCGAGGGACTCATGATCCCAGGAATCGGATTTGTCCTCCTTTTTGATAGAAACTGATTGACTCCCATTTCCTAGGCACTGTATGAACTCTGCGGGTTTAGTGCTAAGAGACGACGTTTCGGTCGTCGTAAGCTCCTCTCCTCTATGTGCGGGTTATTTGTGTATTGTTCCAGTCACGGTATTGTGCCTTTTTTGTTATATTGATGTCAGCTAGGCCTGTATACCTTGTACAGGTACTTGTAGTAAATAAAGATATTATATTATATTATTATCTTTATTTCCACAAGTACATGTACAAGGTATACAGGTATGTTGAAGTACAGTAAATATAAGCGCTCAAGCCATACCACGGGCGGGATTTGAACCCGCGGTCAGAGAGACTCTCTGACCGCGGGTTCAAATCCCACCCGTGGTATGGTTTGTTTGCAATCGTGTCATTACGATTTCGTGAGTCATAAGCGCTCAAGGAGAACAGTGGACCATTATTATTATTATTATTATTATTATTATTATTATTATTATTATTATTATTATTATTATTATTATTATTATTATTATTATTATTACATACCTTTTCGGTGCTAAAGCTTTATGGATCATACAGGGCGTATGTAATGAGATCTAATGATTGGGACGGTATAGAGTGTTCAGTTGATATCAGAGTATGGAACCATTACCAACTCATCAGGCCGTTGCGATCCTTAGACCCAACCAACACAAGGTGGAGCACTGGCAGTTGATGCTGGGTGAGCATGGAAGTTTCTATGTAATAATGTCGTATATAATGAATACCATGTGTCCCTATGCCGTCCCAAGAGCCCCTCAAGAGAACATGTAGGCCAGGATGAATTACAGCAGTTGGATATGCTGAATGTTGAAGACAGAGTAAAACAACTGAAGCTAAATCATGTTCATAAAATTGCTCACAATGTCCAGAATATCTTGCTGTCAATTTTGTCAAGGTTGGGAACCAAAGCCATGCGCTGTATAATCCTACGGGTTTAGCGCTCCCCCATAATTATAATAATGGGAACCAAAGCAATCATAGTACTAGGGGGAGAGACCACAACTTTGTAGTACCCACAGTCAGTGGCCAGGCGTCAAACACCTTTTATTGTACAGCAATAAAGGAATGGAACAGACTACCCGCACATGTCAAAGCCAGTCATAGCATGAACCAGTTCAAGAAGAGTGCCAAAAGGTGTCTGATGAATGTAGCTACAGAAAGGGAGGGGAATGATTTTCTATTTTTTAGCTAACATACGTGTAAATTTTACCTTATTCCTAGTAATGACCCTCGTATCGTAGATAGTCTTAATGACCTTGGTGTAGTAGATAGTCTTTTTAGTATGATAATAAGATGTTATCTTCATTGTAGAATAATAAGAAAATATTATAACCTTTATATTATAATAATAAGGTAAAAGGACCCCAATGGAAATAAGTCACTCTGTCTGACTTTTTTGGGTTATCCTAGGTTCTCTACACACATGCTGCTATGTATGATAATTCTATGTAACTGTATTTGTGTATACCTGAATAAACTTACTTACTTACTTAAGGGAGGTTCCTTGACTCTGGTGAGGGGTTCTTGATCTAGGGAATTAGAGTTGTGCTCCAGTTACCTGAATTGAGCCTGAATACTTCCCCCCCCCCCCACAAGCGCTGTATAATCCTACGGGTTTAACGTTCCCAATGATAATAATAATATGCCGTCCCAATAACATTTACATATATAACATCTCTTCTGACTTTGGATCTTGGGTTACGTATGCTCTCCTTGGTTGAGATTTAGTGCATTAAATGTTAAAGAAAAGATTTGTTCGGATTTTTAACTCCAGGTGGGGGGGGTATTGTTATCCACCTAGGATAACCCAATAAAGTCAGTGCGTCATAAGGGATTGTCTGTCTTATTTCCACGGGTTATTTTAATATCCCCCAGGATGCCACCCAAACCGATCGACTAACACCCAGGAACCTACTTCTAGGTGAATAGGGACAACACATGTTAGGAAACACTCAGTGCTTACACTCGTTTACTGGAATAAATACAGAAACTTCCCCCGAGTTTATCTTCATCCCCAGCTAGTTAGCACTTCTCTCACAAATATGCAATAATCCTTTCAGTGGAAGATTGATTAATCCTCCTAGTTAAAAAAAACAAAAACAAAGCCAGGTGTATCGGTAAGGGATCCATCCATTATAGAACGATAGTTCGTTCATCCAGCAACACTTACAAATTACTGGATACCGGAGTGTATGGTTGACATTAGTGCAGTGTTTAGAGACCTGAATTTTTATTTGTCCCCTAGTTAGTTTGGGTACAGAATTAGGAGTTCTACCATAGACTCCATACTTACTCTTCATACATTCATAATGATTACCTTCAATTTATCATGTGCTTTATGAACTCTACGAGTTTAGCGCTTCCCATTACTATAATTACTACTACTGGTACTGCTAATAATAATAATTTTACAAGAATAATGGATTTAATTTTAGTAGTGTTGGTATAAGATACATATGCACAATCAAGAAATTTATTGAAGACGTTGTGTCAATGGTTTCAGCTAATAATAGCTGCAAACCACGGTACGGGCGGGGCTTTAACCCGCGGTGAGTCGTAAAACTTCCCGCCCGTACCGTGGTTTGTTTCCAATCGTGTCATTACGATTTCTCGAGTCATAATAGCTGCAACTCAGAAGACAGGTGTATCGCAAGAGTGAAAAGAGTTGGTCGTTGAGCACCTTCCTAGCCTGGGCAGGTCCGGTAGGCCCTCCAGTGCTCATTCAAACGTGTTCTGATTGCAATTTTGGTTGGGTAGAATCAATTTGGCTAAAGCTCCCTGAGTTTTGTGTAGCAGTGTTTGAAATGGAAGTCATAAAGGCTTCCAGTCATCTACTTCTAAGTAAATCACCCTCTGATAAGTAGTTCTGCTCTCTCCCAACTCATAATGTGGCCCTGTATGCTATGGTGTTGGACACCTGCACTGTTCAAATCACGGCTGCAAGTATGTCCAACCCTTCTCACTCTTACAGTACACGGCCCGGCTCACTCGCCTCTCACAAATGATCTCACTACTACCTGTTTTTTTTTTTTTTTCGGGTTTCACCTGACCTCTCTCTCCCGTATTTGGGATTATCCTCATCGCTTCGTTTTGCGTTGTTCAATAAACCAGACCCCTCAAGGAAAGTTCCTTGATGCTGGTGAGGGGCTCTTGATCTAGGGAATTGGATTTGTGCTCGTTCCCTGAATTAAGCCCGAACACATTCCACCCCTCCCACAGGCGCTGTATAATCCTACGGGTTTAGCGCTTCCCTTTGATTATAATAGTAATCAATGATTATTATTATAATCATTATTATTGTAAGCCAGAACAAGTAGGGGTGCTGCGAAATTATGTAATCTTTACAATTTTGCCATTGTGTTTCTTTAGGTAATTATTTTTACATAATGCACATGTTAGCGATAATTTGGAAATCTGAACTGATCCTTGTGATCCAGAACTCTGGTTCCCAAGGGCTCTCGAAATGGGACATTTCGTGAGGCCCGGAGATCGACTGCACCGTCAGTATCTGGCAGAATTTTTTTATATTCCACAGTCCGATCCGCCGCTACCCTCGAGACACCTGGCGTGTGGCCGAGGCCAAAGGGCTTGAGACCTAAGATCTGAGGAGGGTCACTTACTAAGGGAGCAACCGGAGAACGGCTATTTAGTGGTAATGAATGCAAAGGATTTAGTTTTTGCAAGAGAAGAGTCAGGTCTTTGTCGTTTTTCTGCTGTACGAGCCTTCCTTGGTCTTCTGGACGTCGAGGTATGGAGTTTCTAGACTCTAAGTCCTGAAGTAGATTTATTAACTGGAATATATCCTCCATCGACTCTTGCTGATCATCGTTTTGCTCCAACAAAGGAGAAATGCCAAAGCTACTGGATAGTTGGCCCACACCCCGGTTGTAACGTCTGTTATGCCTTGCTAAGCCATTGCCCCGTCTTTCCTGCCCGTTGAGTCCTCTTCGGTAGCCCAGCAGTTCTTGGCCTCTCGGGTCTTGTAACGGTGTACCATGTAACTCTTGGTCATGTAGTTGCGAACCAGGTAGTCCTTGTCCCAGATCCTGAAACTGAGCACCAGGTAGTCCTTGTCCCAGACCCTGAAACTGTGTTCCAGGCAGTCCTTGTCCCAGACCCTGAAACTGTGCTCCAGGCAGTCCTTGTCCCAGACCCTGAAACTGTGTTCCAGGCAGTCCTTGTCCCAGACTCTGAAACTGTGTTCCAGGTAGCCCTTGACCTAGACCCTGAAACTGTGTTCCAGGTAGTCCTTGTCCCAGACCCTGAAACTGTGTTCCAGGTAGCCCTTGATCTAGACCCTGAAACTGTGTTCCAGGTAGTCCTTGACCTAGACCCAGAAACTGTGTTCCAGGTAGCCCTTGTCCCAGACCCTGAAACTGTGTTCCAGGTAGCCCTTGCCCTAGACCCTGAAACTGTGCTCCAGGTAGTCCTTGTCCTAGACCCTGAAACTGTGTTCCAGGTAGTCCTTGACCCACACCCTGAAACTGTGTTCCAGGTAGCCCTTGACCTAGACCCTGAAACTGTGTTCCAGGTAGTCCTTGTCCCAGACCCTGAAACTGTGTTCCAGGTAGCCCTTGACCTAGACCCTGAAACTGTGTTCCAGGTAGTCCTTGACCTAGACCCGGAAACTGTGTTCCAGGTAGCCCTTGTCCCAGACCTTGCAACTGTGTTCCAGGCAGTCCTTGTCCTAGACCTTGCAACTGAGCGCCCGTTAGTCCCTGCCCCAGACCCTGAAACTGTGTTCCGTGTAGGCCTTGTCCTAAACCCTGAAACTGCGTACCTGGCAGTCCGTGTCCTAAGCCTTGCAACTGAGTAGCTGGAAATCCTAGTTCATTCAAGCTCTGTAGAAATGAAAATGGCAGTCCTTGTGTTCCCAGGCCTCCTGCCAAGGATAGTTGTAGCAGAGAGAGGAGAGGGTTGTATCCTGGCAACACCAGCTGATGGTATGGAGAGGCAAGGAAAGGAGAGACTGGCAAGCCAAGTGTAAGGTCCCTCGCACCATGTTGGGTTTTGAAGTCCACATCACTGGTCGAATGCTGTTGGCATGGAAATGTTAGTTAGTTTGCTGTTTAAAACCTATCGACTGCACAAAGGTCATTAATGCCAAAATTCACTGCACATTAATATCAAGAATACTTTAAGTCCCAAAACATGAATTAAGCATTCAGTGTACATACAGTGAGGAATACACATCTCTCTGTATACTCCTGTGTATTTATGAAACTCATGTCAACATATACCGTATAGATCATAGTGTGGTAGGTAAGACACATGGGCAACATTTAGGCAACTTTATTCAGAAACGTTTCGCCTACACAGTAGGCTTCTTCAGTCGAGTACAGAAAGTAGGCAGGAGCAGTAGAGATGTGAAGACGATGTAATTAGTCCATCACCCTTGAAGTCGTAGATTTGAGGTTGTCAGTCCCTCAGCCTGGAGGGACTACTCTGCACCTCTCCTTCGACAATGTTTAAGTCTCAGCACTGTCGCTTGATCTTCAGTTAGTTCCAGACTTTGGAACAGAACTTCTCCAGGCTGGGGGACTGACAACCTCAAATCTACGACTTCATGGGTGATGGACTGATTACATCATCTTCACATCTCTACTGCTCCCGCCTACTTTCTGTACTCGACTGAAGAAGCCTACTGTGTAGGCGAAACGTTTCGGAATAAAGATGCCTAAATGTTGCCCATGTGTCTTACCTACGAACCTGTCGGTATTGTATACCATTTTGATATTCATTCAGATCATAGTGTGTCTGGTAAGTGCACCAAGTTGTCTTCGTTTTCAAGCTAATCGTCTGGTGCAGATGAGCCTTCACTTCAATTTAATTTTAGATGCCGATCTTGTTAATATCCGAGGCTTTCCGACAGTAGGTTATGTGGTTTCTAGAGTCTACCTAGCTTGATTATACAAGGAAACTGCTTGATACATTATACAACGGCACCGACCTTCCTGTTATATGTGTGCGGTTGCAGGGGGATCGATTCACAGCTGTGCAGTAGTAGTAGTAGTTTACTAGTTGTCAAAGGCATTTGTCGAGTGACACTTAGCGTGCTGTGTGTGTGTGTGTGTGTGTGTGTGTGTGTGTGTGTGTGTGTGTGTGTTGTGTGTGTGTGTGTGTGTGTGCGTGTGTGTGTGTGTGTGTGTGTGTGTGTGTGTGTGTGTGTGTGTGTGTGTGTGTGTGTGTGTGTGTGTGTGTGTGTGTGTGTGTGTGTGTGTGTTACCATTTTGTCCTAGGCACATGTCGATTAGACACTAGGCCTGTTGTATATGAGCACGTGTGTATGTGTGTGTGTGTGTGTTTTAGTGTGTGTGTGTGTGTGTGTGTGTTTTAGTATGTGTGTGTGTGTGTGTTTGTGTGTGTGTGTGTTTGTGTGTGTGTGTGTTTGTGTGTGTGTGTGTGTGTTTGTGTGTGTACTCACCTAGTTGTACTCACCTAGTTGTACTCACCTAGTTGAGGTTGCGGGGGTCGAGTCCGAGCTCCTGGCCCCGCCTCTTCACTGATCGCTACTAGGTCACTCTCCCTTTTAGTGTGTGTGTGTGTGTTTTAGTGTGTTTGTTTTAGTTTGTGTGTGTGTTTTAGTTAATGTGTGTATGTGTGTGTATAGTATAAACCTTGGTAATAAATACCGACAAGTTGGTTTAGAAAGACACGTAAGCAAACACTATGACATGTATATTAGAAAACGTTTCGGTGATCAAGGTCCCAGGACCGAAACGTTTTCTAATAAATATGTCATAGTGTTTGCTTACGTGTCTTTCTAAACCAATGTATGTGTATACTCACCTAGTTGTGGTTGCAGGGGTCGATTCATAGCTCCTGGCCCCGCCTCTTCACGGGCCGCTACTAGGTCACCCTCCCTGCTCCGTGAGCTTTATCATACCTCTGCTTATAGCTATGAATGGATCCTGTCTCCACTACATCGCTTCCCAAACTATTCCACTTCCTGACTACTCTGTGACTGAAGAAATACTTCCTAACATACCTGTAATTCATCTGTGTCTTCAACTTCCAACTGTGCCCCCTTGTTTCTGTGTCCCATCTCTGGAACATTCTGTCTCTGTCCACCTTGTCAATTCCTCTCAGTATTTTATATGTCGTTATCATGTCTCCCCTATCTCTCCTGTCCTCTAGTATCGTCAGGTCGATTTTCCTTAACCTCTCCTCGTAGGACATACCCCTTAGCTCTGGGACTAATCTTGTTGCAAATCTTTGCACTTTCTCTAGTTTCTTTACGTGCTTGGCTGTGTGTGTGTGTGTGTGTGTGTGTGTGTGTGTGTGTGTGTGTGTGTCTTGAAAATTGGAAGTTGATTGGATGAAGCGTTCTCGAGTTTTAAATGAAAACCTTGTAGGGAAAAAAATCAGGCAATCACTTAAGGATTCCCCTTCGGGGATATGTAAAAAAAAAAGATAAACAAATATATGTACACATATTCAGGAGCGTAACGCCCCAGTCTTGCTCAAATTCACTTTAATACAGATTTCCAAGACAACTTTGACCCTGGCTGAATTACTGTTCATATTAAAAGTATTAGTCATACAATTCTGAACATTCATTGAAGTTTGACTGATGTGTAATACATGGACTCATATTAACTAATGAATGTCAAAATGCGAGGCTTTTTTTTTTTTAGACTGTTTTTACCTTCTCAGCAGAAACACTGGCAGCGAATACTAGTAGCACCAATATGGCCGCATTCATCCTGGACTCGAGTGATGGTGTATGTGGCGGAGGCGTCGTGGCGATGGTGAGGACTGCAGACACACTGGAGATGCACGCGGGAGCTGGTTCACAATCCACTTGATATACAGGAAGCTCTAGACGGTAACTTTCTCGGCACGTCTACATAACCTACCATTGTTACTGTCATCGTCGTGCTTCGACACTCACTGGCCCCATATTATTTTTAGTCATGGGGCCACTAAAACCGTAGGGATCCTATAGTGCCTGGGGGAATGCGAGTCATTCAAATTCGATCTATCGTAAGGGAGAGTAGGTCCAGTTCCTTGGATTAAGAGCCTCTCACCGGTGTCAAAAACATCCCTGGAGAGATTAGTAACTCCAGAGTGTCTCCGAGAAGCGAGGGGAGTACATTTGCATATACTTTTACTTTCTCTTATCTTGGTTTATCTAATTCAAGAAAGACTGTGAATCATAAATATATGAAAGCTAAAAGTCTTATTTAGCTGTTATTTCCCACACAAAAGAAAAGGGAGGCAGGGGAGACGGTGGTGAGAAATGTCAGTTTAATTTTTTTCCAAAGCGTAGCACCCCCCCCCCCCCTGCTGTATAACCCTTGTGGTTAAGCGCTTCTTTTTGATTATAATAATAATAATAATGTAGCACCCCCGAACTGCATCTATTCCCAAAAGAAATGAGATAAAACATAAATGACCTGAATGGGGTGAGCAATACAATAAACTACCGCAAATGACGAGAGGGTGGCCTTGTTGACCAAGATAATAACTTTAGGAGAGAAATATCAGAAAAGGAATAAGAAACGTCAAAAGAATATGAAATAAAGGTTGCGAGGGAATAAAAGACAAACTGTATATATATATATATATATATATATATATATATATATATATATATATATATATATATATATTATATATGTGTATATATATATATATATATTATATATATATATATATATATATATATATATATATATATATATATATATTATATATATATATATATATATATATATATATATATCAGGTCAGCTTACTGTTAGTGATAAAGAAATGTGTATCATTTTTTGCCATTTATTTTCTCTGATTTTCACAAAAGAATAGAAATGAAATTCCAAAATCACAAGATCAAAGTTGCTCGTGACATGGTCCTCAGAGAACTTGGTACATTGAAACTAAATAACTCACCCGACCCTGATGAGCTGTTTTCAAGGGTTCTTAAGTAATGCAAAGAGGAACTTAGCAATGGATCACTACAACTGAGTATTGCACCGGGTACGTGGTAAATGGCAAATGTGATACCTATTTACTACAAGGTGAGAAATGGGTCCCAAGTGTCAAATTCAAAACTATCGGCATAACCTCAATTGTGGGAAAGTTGATGGAATCAATAATTGAGGATGCAATTCGAAGCCAATTTGATAATTGAATCTAAATAGTTTTACAGAGGGGTGTTCTTGCTTGACGAATTTACTAACCTGTTTTTTTTTCTATTAAGGTATTCGCGTAATTGAGAACAGAACTTTGGGCAGCTTTAAATATAGGTTAGACAGGTATATGATGGGGTGTGGGTGAGTGAGTTAGACCTGCTTAACATTGACCAATATGCCTACTGCAATGTTCCTTCATATTTTGTTATTCTTTTAAAATTAAACGAAATATCTTTTATATTCAATTTAAAGCGTATATATATTTCAGTTATATGGACACATTGTACATAGGAGTGTAAAGTGCCTACTAAGTAAGTTTTTACAGTTGCATAAATTATCATACATAGCAGCATATGTATAGATTACTTAGGATAACAAAGGGGAAGTTACAGGTGTTACATTGTTTATGTGATATGACGTACAAGATCTTTATTTTGTAATATTTAATAGCTTAAATTAATCCAAATAGATGTAAGGTGAGCGAGGTACACGGTACTAGGCACTAGATGCCTGTTTAGTTACCAGTTGCTGAATATCGAAGAGCAGGATAGCTCAAGTAGAAGGGTAAGAGACTCAATTGTGGCAAAAATTATTTTTTTTTATTAACACATCGGCCATCTCCCACCAAGGCAGGGTGGCCCGAAAAAGAGAAACTTTCATCATCATTCCCTCTATCACTGTCTTGCCAGAGGCGCGCTTACACTACAGTTATAAAACTACAACATTAATACCCCTCCTTCAAAAAATACAAACAAGAAATTACATATAATGTTGAATGTGACAGCTAAAACTATATGCACAACAGTTGAAAAATAAAAGAAAGCGAACATTAGGCGAGGAACGAAGAATGGAACAGGGGAAGATATATGGATGTACACTGATGTTATCACCTGATTTTTATCTGTTGTCCCACAATGGATTTCCTAACTTAATTGGCCACGACCTAAGCTATATAACATCTTTGTTAGATGTGGATTCAGGTTACATATTCCATTGTTACTAGTTTATTTATTTTGAACATCTTTATAGAGAGCAAAGCTGTATAGCCCTTGTGGTTTAGCGCTTCTTTTTGATTATAATAATAATAATATAGAGAACAAAATACTGTCCGGATATTGATATTTTCAGGCGGTCGCCAAGAGGAGGAAAATTTGCTTGAAAGGAATATATACTCATAACTAACCCATAAATTGGACGTTTCAGTCAGTCTTGGACCATCATCATCTCTCAAGGGAGAGAGAATGGGAAAGAAAACCCTCAAAAATAAGTCAGGATATTGAGGAGACGAATTTAATTTGTGAGTTAGTAGTGAACTGTTCCAGGTACTGTTCCCTTCCTTGGAACAAGTCTGATTCCTAGACACTATTTTTCCAACAGTTTTAGCGCTTCCAAATAATAATAATAATAATAATAATAATAATAATAATAATAATAATAGCAACAACAGCAGCAATAGTAATAATATTAATCCAGCCATGGTTTTGCAACATTTCTCCTTTAAAGGGCGAAGTTGTTTTGTAACTATAAAGGAAACGTGCAAGAAACTCCGTTTATGTGTTATTATTGCTTATTGCTCGTAATTGTTAGTACTGCATTCCAATCATCGTTAATATAGTATACTAATAGAGTGTACGCAAGCAATGTAGCTTATTTCTATTCGTGTCAAATATCTAGATTCGGCATGTTGTCAAGGACCCCAATGGAAATGTCACTGACTTTTTTGAGTTACTTATTTGCTCTTGTTTAAGCTCTTGGGCGTTCAATCAGATCTCTCTCTCTCCCTCTCTAGGATGGGACCCACACTAGTCGACTAGCACTCAGGTACCTATTTCACTGATAGGTGAGCAGGGACAGCAGGTGTTTTAGGGAAATATGTCACATTGTTTCAACCCTTACCGGGGATCGAGCCACGGACCTCAAAGTGCGAGCTGAGTACGCTACCAGTCAAGCTACGGTACACCATGGATTGGTAAATTAGTATTAAAAGCCTGTAGACTACATGAGGGCCGTTGAGGCTGCATCTAACTTCTTTAACGTCAGTCAAGGATCATTTATCTAATCTTATCTAATTCCTAGAATGAATTAAAGTAAACTCAGCATTATATACACCGAGAGATACTTGCATATCGGTGTTGATGTCACTGTTTTGGTATGTTGTTTATGATCCTCAATGTAGTATACTACACAATATTTATATATATATATATATATATATATATATATATATATATATATATATATTATTATTATTATTATTATTATTATTATTATTATTATTATCACACTCCCACCAAGGCAGGGTGGCCCGAAAAAGAAAAACTTTCACCATCATTCACTCCATCACTGTCTTGCATATGTGTCTTACCTAACAACCTGTCGGTATTTTATACCATTTTAATGTTCAATCTGTCAGACACTGCAACACAAGGGTATCTTGGTACAGATCAACTTCGACAACTTCCACTAGTGAGAGGGGCTTGGTTTGAGAGGGACCTAACCTTTCAACATCTGAGTTCTTACCTCTCCTAGTGGCCTACGTCTCACCTCCTGGCGCTATAAAAGCTCCATCCTGTCACTTCTTCTCCATATTGTTTCATACTATGGAACAATGCTCTTCTCCTGACTGAGGGACTGACCACCTCAAAACTTTAAGGGTGATGGACTGATTACATCGTCTTCAAGTATCTTCTGCTTCTATCAACTTTTCTGTACTTGACTGAAGAAGCCTACTGTGTAGGCGAAACGTTTCATAATAAAGATACCTAACTGTTGCATATGTGTCTTACCTAACAACAGGGTGCTTTACACTACAGTTTTTAAACTGCAACATTAACACCCCTCCTTCAGAGTGCAGGCACTATACTTTCCATTTCCAGGACTCAAGTCCGTCCTGCCGGTTTCCCTGAACCCCTTCATAAATGTTACTTTGCTCACACTCCAACAGCACGTCAAGTATTAAAAACCATTTGTCTCCATTCACTCCTATCAAACACGCTCACGCATGCCTGCTGGAAGTCCAAGCCCCTCGCACACAAAACTTCCTTTACCCCCTCCCTCCAACCTTTCCTAGGCCGACCCCTACCCCGCCTTCCTTCCACTACAGACTGATACACTCTTGAAGTCACTGTTTCGCTCCATTCTCTCTACATGTCCGAACCACCTCAACAACCCTTCCTCAGCCCTCTGGACAACAGTTTTGGTAATCCCGCACCTCCTCCTAACTTCCAAACTACGAATTCTCTGCATTATATTCACACCACACATTGCCCTCAGACATGACATCTCCACTGCCTCCAGCCTTCTCCTCGCTGCGACATTCATCACCCATGCTTCACACCCATATAAGAGCGTTGGTAAAACTATACTCTCATACATTCCCCTCTTTGCCTCCAAGGACAAAGTTCTTTGTCTCCACAGACTCCTAAGTGCACCACTCACCCTTTTCCCCTCATCAATTCTATGATTCACCTCATCTTTCATAGACCCATCCGCTGACACGTCCACTCCCAAATATCTGAATACATTTACCTCCTCCATACTCTCTCCCTCCAATCTGATATCCAATCTTTCATCACCTAATCTTTTTGTTATCCTCATAACTTTACTCTTTCCTGTATTCACTTTTAATTTTCTTCTTTTGCACACCCTA